AATGTTATTTAAATAGGGAATAAATGTGATATTTTTAAGGAGAAATTTTTTTTGTGTAAATCCAATCAGGCAAATGGAAATTTGCTAAGACTGCAGGTTTGCTGCGGCGGGGGTATTTTGACTTACTAGAACAGGTCTTCATTCCTTATTAATTTGAATCAGCATTACTCTGAGGTATTGTAGAGTGTAGGAAGGAAAATATTAAATTGGTAACATGAAGATACAAATCATCTTATTTCAACAAACATTGTACATCAAAATAATAAATGTCATTGGAATGTTGTATGCAAGAGATTGACTGCTAATAGCTAAGTATCACTGAGAATATTGTCATCCTCAATTATCTCCCAATCTATAGCGCACACATTGTGGAGGGAAAAGACAAGGTGCATCGAACAGCACCATATGTTCATTTTCATAGGTTTTACTTTGAGGCATTAGAGCTGGGAGCTCTAAACCTGCAATCTCTTGATCAAACTGTATAATAATTTGATACTTGGTATGTGGTAGCAAAACCACATTGTACCCATCAACAGTGAATGGAACCTCAAAGGTTTGTCCGTACTCTACTTCCTCTTGGATAGTGAACTCAGTAAGAGGCTCTGACACACTGTCTGGACCTGTAAACTTTTTAATTGTGACTGTCGCCTTGACAGGATACGTCCAGCCTTGAGGATACAGTTTGTATTTGTTCTTTCCCATAAAAACCAATGGCAACAACTCTACGGCAGATTGTTTGGTGATAATGGAAAATATTAAACGCTTTTCTAAACATATTTCCGAATGGTTGGTAAGTTTGAGCTCCTGTACACAAGAGGCAGACTTAGATCGTTTGCATAGTATTATATCATTGAGCAGTATTTGCCTCGGTGTCAACTCGTTGCTGAACATGATCGTTTCTTCTATCTTTTCCTTATTTACAATAGATTGTGTCACAAGTAGCAGTTCACTGTTGTTCAGTATTTTTGTAGAAGCCACTTCTTTCCAGAACTGCTCATTATTCAAAGTGCAAATCCTCAAATGTTCTGAGATTCCAGAAAGCTGTTGTCTCAACAATTGCCCATCTTCACTGCCAACTGTAACAGTTATTTGTTGTTAATTATGACAATATGGTGTTTTTTTAAGGATATTTCTTGGATACCGGCCTACCTGAATAGGAAAAAGTCTATCCTAGCAAAATAAACACATAAGACATAAGATATTTAATACCGTTGATCATTTTTACATGAGATGGGCATGGTCAACAAACTTTGTTAACCTATGTTGAGGGATTTCAAGTTTGTTTTTATTCCTGGTATTGTGATTGTGTACCTCACGTCTAATAAAAAAAGAATTTAGATTTGTTTTTGTGAATATTAATACATGATAAATATACAAGTTAATAATTGTAGGAATCTTCAATTGTTTGAAAAGACATCTACTTGACAAATGGTTCTAATTAATTCTTTTTAAGAATTAGGGCATCTGAGACATTTGCAGAGTGTCCCCAAAGTATGAGACCATAAGCAATATGAGACTGAAAGAGTCCGAAATAGGCAGTCCTCAGATAGTCAGTAGAGATTATGGAGCTCAGTTTCCAGAACAAACAATTGACCCTTGAGAGTTTTTTAAACAAATTTACAACATGGTCATTCCATGTGAGCTTTGAGTCTATGTGAATTCCCAGCAGTTTTACAGATTGATTTAGATCGATGATTGATTTTGATTGATAGTTTTGATTTTCTGAAAGACTGAGCCAAATATTCTGAGTTTTAGTCTCATTACACAGCAGTTTGTTAGCTGAGAACCATTCTTGTGTTTGGTTTTGGTTTTGAGCTTATGTTATTCTGGCCTCCAAGAGGTCAAGGTTTTTACTACAAGTAAAAAACTTGGAATCATCTGCATAGACAATAGAATTTACACCTACATTTTTGGGAAGATCATTTATTATTACAATAAAGAGAAATGATTCGAGAACCGAGCCCTGCGGCACTCCCAAGGAGACATCACACAATGATGAGTGAGCACCCACAATATTTATATATTGCTTACGGTTCATTAAGTATGATTCAATTAATTTCAAGGAGTCGCCAGAAACACCATAAAAGTTAAGTTAAGTAATTAAAATAAATAAATAAATATTTATTGTCACATAACGTTTACAAAATATAGCAATGCTATAAAACAGGTGACATTGTCAATACAGTATACAAATACCTTAAAACTAAGGAGTTATAAAAAATAAAATAAACTAACGCCATGAAAATAGAAATAATTGTTGTAGACAATAGTTATTTGTGCAACTAGTGAGAAAAGTGAGCAATTGACTCACTCGAGAGAAATACGGCGAGTGAGGAATGGTTTCTCGAGTGAGGCAATTGTACTTTGAACTCGAGTTGCACATTATACTTTTCCTACAGTTACCATAAAACAAATAAATTGGTGAAGAAACATAACCTATTTTACACAGAAGTGAACTTTTAATAATAACATTTAACGTGAAGTGACAAATACAACAGTACAACAGCTGACCAGCTGATTTACAGCCAGTGCTGCCAACGTATTTCGCGCGCATACGACGTTGCCTGCATGTTACGCGCTCACTATTTCGTGCCTTCACGTTGCAAATCTGGAGTGAGACAAAGTAATTAGAGTGAGACAATGTTAACACTGATGAGCGAATTGGCCACTTTGCTTTCTCAAATCAGTGAGAGAACATGTACATTGTTAGGTAACTGTAGGAAAAATAGATAAACTTAAACATTGCATTTAAAATACCAAATAATTACACATCTTGATCACATAAAAACTCATCTATACTATAATATGTTTTCCTTAAGTAAGGCTGCTCTTGAAATGCTTAAGACTGTATTCTGTTTTTGAGCTCTTGAGACAATTTATTAAACAATTTTTTGCCCATGTATGTCGGAGTTTTTTCTACTAATGAAAGACGGTGCCGCGGATATTGAAAATTATATTTAACCCTTTCAGTGCTATGAAACGATATATCGTTGTTTTAAAAAATCTCTAAGGGATATAGAGAGGAAGGTTATTTTAACAAAAAGCAGCAAAACGGCCATTGGTGACCTGCATGTTCATAGGATACACTATCAACCACTTAGCTAAAAGATTCGCCCAATCCAATGATTTCGAGGTGTATGTCTAAACCAAGGATTATGAACACCTCACTATGCCCCAGTGGTTGTAGTATATCGCTACAAACACACAGGTCACCAATTATTTGCCACACAGGACGGGATTCGAACCTGAGCAGACGAATGCCACTGGCCAAGTGACACACGCCCTAGCCTTCTCGGCTATCTGTGCTTGAAGACCAAGGAGTCAAAAACCGGTATTTAAGCTGACTCTGCCGATTGCGAACAGATAGCGCTACGAGAATGAATCAATTGGCTACGAAATTACGTTTATTCCGTTCGTTTAACAATTAATTATTATTTAGGTTATTTTTAGAATTCAACGTTTTAATACCCCGAGACTTGTCGTTTGAGTTCTAAGCCACGTCTTTGGCGGGTGAAAGAATCAAGTCTTGGGAGCCGGCTGAGTTGAATAATCAGCTAAGAAAATTAATACTAAATTTATTTTAAACCTATCACGATAAATTATCCGTTCAGTTATATTAATTAGGTCCCGACGACTCTGTAGGAATTGTTTTTACCTTTTATTCGATATTATATCAATTATCAACGTCTTTAACTAATTAGTTGCAGTTTAATACGAGTATTTACATCAGATTGGCTTAAGATTGGATACTCGTCGGCCCTACAGAGACAATACAAAAGTTAGGCAAAATTTACCAAAACACTTTTACGAAGGCTGGGATGATATAGCTCCAACTGGGCGTCTGCAGGATTTCCTGAGCGCTTCTAGAGCTCTGAGCCTTCGATTAAATTTTAAATAAATTGATCAGTCAAAGCCGTGACAACTTTATATCGACCCCTGGATTTTTCTCGGCTCCTTCTGAGCACTCCGGGGAAGAAATTTTAGTGTGGCCGGTTCTAGGGGTAGGCCTAGCCTGACTTTGGTGAATACTAGTTTATTCCCCCCCTAGAATTTTGCGTCACAACTTTCTCTGAAACCTTCCATCCTTTGTTATTATCATTAAGTTTACATGTATTTTTATAATTATTTTATTCATGCAATAGCAAGTAAGGTGTATGTTTCACTGGAAGTTTATGTTTATATTTTATTCTGTTCAATATTTTTGGAAATAAAGTATATTTTTATTTGATTTGATTTGAACTCTTTTTACCTCAAATTCACACAAGGGTAATTAACAACTTTCAACAGTCAGCTAAGTTATTTTAGAGTGAAGATCTAAAATGCTTATATAACTAATCCTATACTGGCTTATCTTAAAGTTGAACTAAAGCAAAGAACCTGTTGAGAGGAATGGTTGCTCTATGGTAATTTAAAAATACAGCTATCTGTCCTGAGAAGTACTAACCAGGATGTCCATGCCGGCTGGGATTGTATGCAAATCTAAGCAAACGAAGAAAAGTCTGAGAATTGTATGCAATTTTTGTAACAGAACATTTGAAATAGTCACCAACAGCATATGGCCTAGCATTCTTGTATTAACTGCATTTTGTTAACTTTCTTTTAGGTTTGTCATGTAGCAAGACAAACACGATCATAGAGGACATTTACGTTGCTCGTTATGATGAGCAATAAATGACCATTTAAAGTCATAAAAATACATTATTTGTTATAAATACAATTTAAATAACTTCTGATCAGCATTGTACGTGTTATAAAAAATTTAATTACACATACGTTAAAAATTTTATTTACGGAAAGTAAATAAAAGAGACGTCTTATAAGACTTAGAATATATATTCTATATAGAATATAGTTACTCACAAGACGGTAAATATACAAAAAAGATGGTAAGTGGTGATCGATTTCGATTGGACACTCCAATCATCATCAGACCCAATAGGGGAATCATTCGCCTATTGGGCAGAGGAAGGAAAAAATAAACTTGGTACTAAAGAGGCAAATCATTTAATTACATTTTACCATTGTACAACAAAATGTCAATGGGATGTTGTATGCAAGAGATGACTGCTCATAGCTGATACCAGCTATATGACTACTTGTAGCTCATCACCGAGAACATTGTCATCCTCAATTTCTTCCAATCTATAGCGCAGGTTTTGTCCTTGAGGGAACCAAAAAGTGATGCCTAGTTCAGAGGACAGGACCAAATGTACATTCTCAAAGGTTTTATTTGCAAAGTTCGTTAATGGAAGATCTTGATCAAACTGTATAAGAATGCGATACTTACTGTGTGGTAGCAAAACCACATTGTACCCATCAACAGTGAATGGAACCTCAAAAGTTTGTCCAAACTCTACTTCCTCTTGGATAGTGAACTCAGCAATAGACTCATTATCACCGAATGGACCTGTAACCTTTATTATTTTGACATCTGCATTGACAGGATGTGTCCAACCTTGAGGATACAGTTTGTCTTTGTTCTGTCCTAAACAAACCAACGGCAACAGCTCTACAGCAGATTGTTTGGTGATAATGACAAACCATAAACGCTTTTCTAAACCTTTTTCCAAAATATGGTGGGTCAGTTTGAGTTCCTGTACACAAGAAGTAGACTTAGATCGTTTGCATAGTGTTATATCCTTCAGCAGTCTTTTCCTCGGTTCCAAGTTGTTATTGAACATGATTGTTTCTTCTATCTTTTCTTTCTTCCCAATAGATTGTGCCACAAGTAGCAGTTCTTTGTTGTTTAGTATTTTTGTAGGAGCCACTTCTTTCCAGAACTGCTCAGTATTCAAAGTACAAATCCTCAAGTGCTCTGAGATTCCAGAAAGCTGCTGTCTCAATAATTGCCCATCTTCACAGTTAACTGTAACAGTTATTTGTTGTAAATTACAACAATATGGTAGGTGTTTTTAAGGATATTTCTTTGGACTTGGGATAGCAGGCTTACCTGAATAGGAAAGAGTCTATCCTAGCAAAATAAACACAAATACTTCATAAAAAAAAAGAAACTAATTTCAATGTCACTGACAGTGTAGGTGTATTTTACAAGTTGTTTCACTTTTCCTGTATGGAGAGTCTTTACCTTCCTCCAATTCTAATTACAAATATAGTGGTTGTAGGTTATTAATACATATAATGGAAAATAAGACGGTGAAGGGACATCCTATTCCGTACTCAATCTCTCACCACTTACTACAGGTCTTATAAGGGAAAAGTGTTTTGAAATTTTTATATTATTTTCTCAAAAATAAATGTGTATTATATAATTGGAACCATACTTCCTGCAAAAAACCTAAGTGCTATGCTCTGGTATTTCTATGATGGTAATACAGCAACCAAACAAAGGAAAAATGTTAAAGCAATAAAAAAATGTGACAGGCAGGTGAATGCACGAAGTTGGTGAGTACATAACTAATTACTCAAGCCTATTCTTTACACCAAAACCATTTTTTAAAATTTGTAACTAGCAGTTGCCCGGCGCGCGTTGCTGCACTTAACAACTATTATTTTAAATGATAATTTGTTCTTTGCGATGAATAATAAGAGTACCAAAAATAATAATAGAATATTTTACTTAATCGCCAGTGGATAAGCAATGTTTTTTGTTATTTCATTAGGTGTATAAATATATATATGTTTTTAGGCGTACCTACTACCACATGAAAACACAACATACAGCTTTTCGTGTGAACAGCATGCATTTTATAAATTTAAACTATGATAGTTAGGGATTGCCCTAGTGCCTTATAATGTTATGTGTGTAGTGTTATAATGTAAAGCTGCATAGAATAGGTATTAAAGATAGAGCTTTTGATTGGATAAAATCATATTTCACCAATAGGAAACAGTTTGTCCAAATCGTAAACCTTTCTAACAACTTCAAACATTATTACAACTCTCAACTTTTATAAATTAAAAATGGCATGGTAATTTTTGCAACACGCACCCACCCCCTTGGTCTTTTTTGGCAACATTGTACTTCGTCAACGGCGCTCTGTCAAGTGGTGCGCCTGGCGCTCAAATCTGCAAACAGTTGTTGAAAAATCGAGAATTATCATTATGACGTCCGGTTTACCTCCGTTACTGAATTCATGTTAGTCAATTGTTTATGAAATCGTGTTCTTTTATGGTTACGTTTGGGGGTGCCTATATCAGCGCCCCAAACATGAAAATATCACTTTTATTTCAACTATGAATATATTGTAGTTTAAATTAACTAATATGGGAAATTACGATGTACATTTATTAAATGAGGGTGGGTAATTATCAAGGATAGAACTGATAACGGTATGGATAATAAACATTGACAATTACGTCATTAGCTTTACTAGCGTGTTTACTTTTTATATTCCTGCTACATGTGACCAGTTTTTTTTTCAAATGAATGTTATTTGAACCAAACAGCTGTTTCAAAACAAACTGTTATTGTTTTATTGTACACGGTTTTAAATTCCCGTACGTAGGACGGGCTAACACCTCGTATTATTTAATTTGAAATTTGATTATTATTTATTTAAGATTTGAACCACCACAAGTTCCAGTTTAGATTTTGATCTATTGTTGGACCTAAAAATTTAGTTTTGTTTGTTTTACTAATTACTTGATTTGTTCCGATATTTAGTTTATCAGATGGATATTTTGCCGCCTGCGGGGTTTTAAAATTGATGAAAATTGTTTTTTCTTGATTTATTGATAAATTATTCTGAGTGAAGTAACTAGACAAAGTGGTCATATTATTCTTAACTGATAGTTCTGTCACACTAAAAGTTTTATCTGATATTTTTAAAGTGGCAACATCAGCATATAGAACTAATTTACTTGTGCCAGTCGGTGTTGGTATGTCTGCCAAATAACAGTTGAAAAACAAAGTTGAGAGTATTGATTCCTGTGGTATGCCACTTTAAATTTCTAAAAGTTGAGAGTTGTAATAATGTTTGAAGTTGTTAGAAAGGTTTACGATTTGGACAAACTGTTTCCTATTGGTGAAATATGATTTTATCCAATCAAAAGCTCTATCTTTAATGCTATTACAAAAGGAATAAAACAATTGCAATTCGATGTATGTTACATTTTTAACTTCCAGATCTTTGTTCAAAGATAACATCCTTTAAAATACTACATACCTAAAAAAATAATTACATGCTTTTTAAGTTATAAACTAAATATTTTTTTTCTAAATGAACTTTAAATGTTATTAACTTTAAATGGGGGTTTAGATTGTTTTTTTTTTTAGGATAATACAATGGTGTATCTAAAGTAAAAAAAAATCTCCACATTACAACAATGATAGTATTTTGTGCCAGCACCACCTTCACCTAGACCAAACCCACTGATTTAGTACACATACTGCATTACATCGGCTGAATCTCGCAGGATTTTTATTAAAGTATTATTATACACAATTCTAAAGCTAATGAAAGCAGCTACAACTTTTGTTTTAAACATGTTTTTATAAAACGTCAGCAAAAAAGTTAAGGCGACAAAAATAAAATTATATGTTAAAAAATATATAAATTTTTACATTTTTATACAAATAACAAACAAACGGTAACAGCTACGACGAAAGTTAACTGAACAGAATTGTAGGAAATTGTATAACAAAGACGACTTAGAAGAAAGACCTTTAAAGACAATTAAATACACCTTTAATTAAAATTCAATATGTCGTTTAACAATAGAAAAAAACATGATTTTCAAAACCCTTACACTTTATATGTTTAGGGGGGCACAGGGGGGGGGGGAAGCAAAGGGGATAGGGATGGGGACTTTGGGCTAAACTCTTGTCTAAAATGGTAGTAGTCAATGGGCAAAAAATCAGCTTTTTACTAATTCCTCCCCCCCCCCCACTAAAAACACAGGTTGACTGGACTAACTATACTAGCGGATCCGCACTGCGAGCGCTCTTGCGCTCGACGCCGCCTCCCGTTTTCGGACTGATTCTTCCAACTGGCTGCAATTAAAATACGTAAAACCCATATAATTTTAAAGATTGAGATACACGCCAGCTTCTTATCTCAAAAAGCTATCTCAGCTAAAACATGTTTCTTTATCTGTCTAATTTTAATACAAATTAACTTAACACACGAAGGTTGAAATTTAAAAGTTAAAAAAATTTACATTCAAACTTAAATTACAAGAAAACTACTAAATATATAGATTACACACTTATAAAGTTTTTGTAGAGAATATTTTAAGGATAGAAATGGAGAAATAAAATTTATTCGATTGCTATTTCTGTTTGTTCTATATTTCTATTATTCTCTTTGTTTCTGAGATATTGATAAAATGATAATACCCCCGCCGCAGCAAACCTGCCGACTAAGCGAATTTTCATTTGTCTGAATTGATTTTCAGTTAAATATATTTTAATAACATTAGGTTTAACCGAGTACCTAGGTTTGCTGCTACAAGGAAACTAATAAAGTGTGTTTTTGAGTAAAATATTGATAGCTTAGTACAAAATAAATAAATTTGCCAAGTTTGATCAAAATATATCCATAAACAAGCAAACTACAACATTTGACAATATTCTCCATAAGAATAACATGGGAATTTGTAAATTTACAATTTTTTTAATTTTCTCCGTTACTAATAACCGAACAAAAATACTTTTATATACTAAATTATTTGTTTTTTTTTAAGCTCTTTAAAAAGGTCTAAAGAGAAATCGGGAAATTTTGTGTTTTGAGGGTCAAAGTGAGAAAAACCAATTTTTACCCCATAAAACCCCCCGTAAAGCCCCGTTCCCATGGTCCGATCGTGCTGGTTCGCGAACTCATTCAAGTTTATCCCGCTATACACCTTTAAACCAAATTTCATCAAAATCGGACAAAAATTACTCAAGTTATCGCGTTCACGGACGTATATATATATATACATATATAAAAATTTGAACGAATGGTGTTTTTGGCCTCTGGGGACATCAAAATGAAAAAGTAAATCGGTCCCAGGTCTAGGTCTTACCGTGCCACCTACGGTAATAGCTACTTCCTTATAGGGAAATTCGCTAAAAGCTTACACAAATACACTTAAAAGGGTGTGGGGGGGGGAAGCAAGAGAGGGAGGGGCAGTGAATTTTTAGAAAATGTTCCTTATATGATCTACTAACATCCATGAAAAAATCAGCCTTTCACTAATTACTTCCGACAAAGCACTATTTTGTCCCTTTATTGACTGGGCTACCAAACCTACTACATCTTAGTACACAATATACTGCTGTACTCCGACTGAACCTCGCAGGATATCCAATGAAGTTAGTATGATAATATATGTTTTTACAGGTAATGATTGCAGCTACAACTTTAGTTTGAAGAATATTTTAATAAATTATGGTGTTATAGTGATATAATTATGGTGCCCACTAGTTACACAAATATAACTATTTTGTATGACATTTTACTTCTTATTTGGCTTCCCCAAACAGGATGCACAATAAGCTCGCTTCAGTTGACGTGCTTGGACCACCCCTCTCACAATACTATACTACCCAAACAGGTGTTTGTTCCGTATTAATTCATATCAGAGGGACTCTGATGTAGTTGTTGTGCATTGTAGAAAGGAAACAAATAGAACAAATCAAATTGGTACCATAAATAGGCAAATAGTTTATTTACAAGGTTACCATTGTACAATAAAATAATATAGGTCATTGGAATATTGGATGATAGAGATTGACTGCTAATAACTAAGCATCACTGAGAACATTGTCGTCCTCAATTTTATCTTCCAATCTATAGTGCAGGCTTTGTGAAGAGAACACCATTGTGTTCAGTAGCATATGTTCATTCTCATGGATTTTATCTGCAATCGTCATTAATGGGAGATACTGATCAAACTCTACAAAAATGCAATATTTAGTATGTG